TAAGAAATGTATATATACAAGAATAGTGCAAACTGTTAACTTTATTTTTATTTAAGATAACTGATAAAGTCAACAAATATATTTTAATGTAACAAAAAGTTATAATTGATAAGTTTGCCACCTATATTTTAAAGAATTTCAACATATATTTTAGCATGGCCAAAGACTTAACATTTGAGTTATCCTTTCTGAAATGTAAAATGCACAATTATAATACTCATACTACATTTCTTACAATTTTAAAGCTTTAGCTAAAACATGAGTTTCTGCAGGTAAAAACAAGAGTTCTACTCCTAAGACAAATACAATGTATTACTAATAAAGTGCCATTGGATTAGACAATACTATTTTAACTATTTCCTTTTTGAAGAGGACAAAAGTACATAATAGTATATAGAACTAGTCATTTTCATACTAGTGTAGAATTAGTAATTTGCATTATACTTTGTGTAGCAAGCATGAATGCTTATTTATAGTAGATAGTAGCAACAATAAAGAATTCTCAAGAAAGATCACAACTATGACCAATGACAAGCCGTGTAGTCACCACTGAATATAGTTTAGCGTCCAGAGTTTTAAAAAAGTACAATCTTGAACTAAGATAAATCTAAATCTACCAACACCAAGAAATAGTTTTAGGGACTTCAGATAAATCATCGCTCTTTCAATTGTAAAACAGGTTTCACCCTATCCTAAGGAGGAATAGTGGTGGATGGTAAAGTTTGGCAATAAGTATGTTTCTAGCAGGTGAAAGCCTGTTGGCATTGCTACAGTACACAACGACTGCCTATGGAAAACATGCTAATAGGACGCATACAGCACTTTTCAGGCACTTGACTTCACTTGGTAGTAAATTGATATTCAGGTATTTATTTAATGGAAAAATATTAAATTATATAATAACTTCAAGTCATGTTCCTTTCCACAGAACATCTGTGTTCCATAAACTAAATCCAAATGTTTCCTGCTAAAATCAAATAAGGATGCCATATACCCAATTCAGAAAGAAAAAATTTAATAGATTAAAGTTAATAAATTGAATTTTCTCAATTTTAAGATTTTTCACAATAAAGTTTCCTTAAGGCTTTGTTGCCTTTACTTGTCTACTTGCTGGGAGATAAGTCTTGAAAACTGTGAAATATTATGCCTAAATGATATTAGAAAAATTTAAACTGTTGGTCAGTTTAATAAACTATTTATGGAAATATACCCATAGTTTGCTCTTACACTTCTTGAGAGCCCTATTTTGTCATAGTAAATCTGTTCATAGTTCATATAATAGAATTCAATATGTAAACATTTTAATGTACCTAAAAGAGCATTATAAATTTCGATCTGTTGTCCTTAAATATGTTTGGGAACTACTACATCAATATCTGACTCTGGAACTATCTTTGGGGTCCATGCTAAAGAAATGCTTTCAGATATATCATTAAGGATAGGGTTCTAAGATAAGAATATCAAACTCTATTCTAAAATAAAAAAAAAATAAAAAATATATATATATGGCAAGATTACAATAATAGATGTCACTAAATTCCCATTTTTTCTTGAATACTTAGCATATACTTTAAGTATGTTGATATTAAGGATTTTTTATTTGTATGTTATTACATTTTGGGAAAATTCTGCAACATATTTTTAGGCAGTTATCTTTAAAATAATGAAACTTCAACTCTTAGAACAAACAGCCCTGAGAACAATGCATTCAAATTACAGCTCAACTAGAAATAGTCTAATTGAGAAACTTTAACATACAAAAACAAATTCTGGAAAAGTTTGTAAATTAAAAAAAATTTTCCCCAACTTTTCAGGCACTACCAGACTACAGTACTTTTAAGAGTTGGAAGGACTCTGTAAAAAGAACAAACATACAAAGCTGTGCGTGCACATGTACACACATTGTGCTATAATGAAACACTGTGTCCCCAATTTTATAAACTAAAACATTTTATTGCAGCCTCTCCTAGTAAAGGTATCGTGCTCTGGTTGCAGGAAAGTTTTGGTAACTTATAAAACATTGGTTCAGAATTTTGTATGATCAATGGAAACTGATTCAAGAGCTTGGTTAGCAACAATTTCAAGGGATTGACGGCCCTTGGTAGGGAGAATGAAAAAAACTTCACAATTATGCTTAAATGATGCAAATGCAAGGTCAAAGTAGCAATGACTTGAACTATTTCAGAGGGTATACAGTCAGCCCTCATTTATCGCAGTTAATCAGTTCCAGACTCTACTGCAATAAATGAATTTCCGCAAAGTAGGATTATTTCTTTATATTACAGTCGTCCCTCGCCACTTTGCGCTTCAACTTTTGTGGCTTCCCTCTATCGCGTTTTTTTCAAATACTAGACTATATTCGAAAAAACCGTGATAGAGTGAAGCAGCGAAAGTCTAAGCACGAAGTGGCTAGGGACCAGTGCACAACTTTTAGCAAATAAGGTATAACAAAGTCTTCACAGTAGAAATGAAATGTTGTTCTAGAAAGAAGCACATATACCATTTATTAATATAATACTGTATATTAGAGATCTTCAACTGGTATGCCACAAGAATTTTTAAAACATGCAACACATAACTTTTTAGTCAAGGGTACTGATGTCTTTTTCCTTAGACTGTCAAATAAAAAAATGACAACCGACAATACAATAGCCGTCCAGTGTGAATGAATCAAAATTATGCCCCTCCCCCTTTTTTGTCAGATTGGTGTGCCACAGAATTTTAGTAATGCTTATGTGTGCCACGAGATGATAAAAGGTCGAAAATCACTACTGTATGTATATAAATTGGTGAAATGCCTGCAGACAAACATGGTGTATCACTGTATAATCTATCAACATGACAGTCTACATTCTATACATGGTAACTTGTGATATTTACCATTTGCTACAAAAAAGTACAACAAATACTAGGAATCAACTTTTAACATTTCTGATGTCAAAAAAGAATGAAGTCACTTCTGTTTTATGTTTAAAAACATTTCCTTGCTTCTTTTTAATACAATTTATAAAGCTTTACTAAATGAAATATTTTGTTCCAGAGAAATGTATTGACTTATGTGAAAATAAAGAGTCCCATATCTTTAAAATCTATACTTATATGTGAGAAAAGTATTTACACTTCTTTATAGTACTTAAAATGAATTATTTATGCATAAATAGCTTTTGCCATTCAAGGTATGAAGATAGAGATGCACTATTATAATTTACATACACTTAACTCGCAACTGAAAATATATTTATGTGAAGTCTGACAAGTTAAGAAGAATAAGGGCATGCTGATCCAGAATTAACACTAAACCACAACACTAGTATGGTTAACTGGGGTCATATGCATGACCAGCAAGCAGCACAGCTTAATAACTTTCTGGAATTCCTGTGGGTAATAATGCCAACCAGTAGCAAATAATATACACATTATAAAATACTAAAACACTAGAGCAGTATGTAGTAGATACTGAAATGGAATACTGGAAAGAATTTAGCCTAATTCCTAATTGTGCTTTGATGGGCAAAAATTAAAATGTTACATTAAAAATGATTAACTACAATCTTCATATTTCTTGTGCTTTAGAATTCTTTTTGCATTTCCTTAAAGTATCCTGCTTCTTCTCCAAATGGGTTTGCTGAAGCTAACACAAGATTTAAAAGTATGAGCAAATTAAGTAACTAAAGATTTGGGATCTTTTGTTTCTAATGCTACTTCCAGTCACTGATTAGATTAGTTACAGTATCACGTATTTTCTTCTAGATGATAGGAATAAAGGCCTTGTATAAGTCAAGGCATGATGGGAGAGGTCTCATAATCAGTCTTAGAGAATGAAGGTATTACTGACACAGTAACTTTGTTCTAAGTTTCACTCCAATATAATCATTGTTATTGAGTCAAAGGTCCTCACAAAACCAATGGCAATGTTTAGAATTCTAGAAACAAGGTATATATGATACAAAAGACTAAATAGATATTAGCAAAGTCTCCTAAAATATTTTTTAAAATAATTCAGTGTTATAGAATTCTTTCCTAGTTATATTTCACATGAGTAACTGAATCAAGTCATGTGACAATCAGAAAAAATACATATAGGTACTTCTTAAGTTAATGATTATCACATACAGTAACTTTTCTTCCATAATTCATTTTCATTTCACTTTAGCAAAAATGTACATAAACTTTACAAATGTTCCAAATCAACTTGAAGTAACAATTTCCAGTTTTTTTCTGACAAATAAATATTTTGGTGTCAAAAAAATCTACTTACAAATGGTGGGAAAGGAGTGACTACTATAAATAACATTTATCAACATAATTAATAAAAAGCACTGCATAGCATCCTATAAAGCTGGTCATTCCGTTAAAGAGAGAGACAGAGGACACAAAAATTTAAAAGTACAACTAGAAAGAAACTTTCTATTTCAATGCTGATTACAAAGACCTCAAATAAAAACTTACAGCTTTAATCAACCCATCTTGCCACTGTCTCTTGTGTCTTCTTTACTTGCCAAAGTAAATATGACTTGCTAATAGTTACCCAGCAGTTTAATACACAAGCAGGTATGAAAATCACCATATATAAGGCTATATTAAATCAGCCAACAATTTGGCAAAGAACAGTAAGACTGAGGTAATGCAGGGTACTGCACATGGCTACTAAGACTACTGACACTTTTTGATAACATGATTTTTGTTTAAGAATTTGTTATCAGGCTGAAACTGTGACAGTTCCAATCCATAATCTACTTACTCTATGATATTTGTCTGAAATTAATGCAGAGCAATTAAACTTAAATGTGGTACTTTAATACCACTAGATGCTACATTGTTTGATTTAAAACCCTGGTTTATTTATCATTTAACTAAAATTCAGGAATGATGTGCTCAGACAAATCACATCTGTGGAAGCTACCTTGTCTTTTTTTTTAGAGTCACATAATGAAAACCACAGGAATGTCATAAAAAATATTTAAAAAAAAAAAAAAAAAAAAAAAGAATTATACATCTTGATTATTTTTAAAAATTACTAATTGCCTGCAAAACTAACTCAGCACAATTTCAAAACAATTAAAAGGTAAATGAGGTTGCTTCTGAAGGCCATAGCTTTGGTGACAACTTAGAACCAAACTTGAGATCTGCAGCTGGTCCAGACCTAAACAGGATGCTCATGCCTGATGCTCCCATTTATTTGCAGGACTTGATGGCTACAGCATATTCTTCACTCATTGCACACATGACAGAAACCTAGAAGGGAAAAATGCAAGCAAAGTTTCTTCAGAAGGCAAGACATATATAAGATATACTTAATTCATTATATACTGTATATTCATGGATATTATATATATATTAACTCTGGATAAAGGTATTCCAAGACCAAATAATCCACTTTCTTTATAGTTCCCAACTGAGAAATTTCTCAAATTGTGGTTTTTAAGACAACTGCCAGGGACCAGAGAGAATAAAAGCTATAAATGTTTCAATACTTATTAGATGTTATGTATTTCCATAGCATTCGTTCTCAAACTTAAAAAATAGCTCAAATGTTGATCTTCAAAACAAATCTGAGGCTGACAGTATCTATATAGTAAAACATTTAACTTTGATATTTCTTTGGTAAATGGGTCTCTATGGATATCATAGGAAAACTGCCTTATACAGATTCTTTTCAACATTTTGGCAGTATTTAAAAGCTACCTTTTATGTAAGTATTTTATGCAAACTAGTTGAAACCAAATTTTTATAAAATGGTTTTAAGAAATAACCTTCCCATAGGTCTTTACCTGTACATCTTCACCTGCATTGTATTTTCCTTCTATTTCTTTGCCTAGTTCACCTTCTGGCAGCTTAAGATCCTCACGAACTTCACCAGTTTCTGTCAGCAGGGAAAGGTACCCATCCTGAATGCATATCAGCTATTGAAAGGAATGATATCATTTGTACTGATTAGATTATATCCATTCCTTTTTAATATTTACATAGTTAAGTTGCAATCCACATTAATTAGTATAAGTACACAGTAATACTTTATATTCTTTGTGCTTAAAAAATACAGGACATACAAAACTATAAAATACATATAGATAAAAGTGTAAGTTCACTCCTCCCACACTCCCCTTTCTCCCAAGTCTCTAAATTATTAAACAGTTTAGGCTTCTTTATAATGTATCGTGAAGCATTTAATTTATGTATACAATATAAATATTATTTAAAGAAACATAAATAGTATAAGTATTTTCAGCAAGTTTTTACTTAGTAAAATGTCTTAACTCTTCCCAAATTGAAAAACATAGACCTACCTTAGTCCCTTTAACCATTTCACAATTGCATAGATATACTGTAACTATGTAATCATTTTCCCATTGATGGGTATAAAGGTTATTTTTAGTTTTTCACAATTAAAACAATATGTTTTTTAGTTTGATTACAAAGTTAAATGGAAAATTTTAGTCTCCAACTCACTGCCACAATACCAGATTTTTAAAAAAGGACAAACACTAGCTTATTGAAGAAAAATGAAACAAACTCAAGTATCAACCTAATTTGTAAGACACAGTTTTGATACAATTAAATTTCTTTTATTATAGGCATGAGGAAACAGCCAGGCTGCACTCATATTCTAAAAGCACGTATACCATCAGTGTGCCTAGAATTCGAACAGGTTTTATAGAAAGCAGTCACCCCGAATACCAGATGTTAACAATGACATACACAAAAGGAGTCACAGACATGGCCCTGGACCCCCTTTTATGCTGTGATACATACAACACTGTCACACTGTAGGTGTAGTTTCAAACCTCTCCTCTATGGTACTACCAAGTCTGGCTTTCTACACTAACCCTAATTACCATAGGAGGTATCAGTTCTACACAACTAGAATCTCAAAAACAAAAATATAAACATCCTACAAAGCAACCACAAACACTTTTAATTAATCTTTGTGTCCTTTAAACATTTGTGAGGAGGTTGTTAAAGGAGTGAGGGATAAGGAGATTGAGGTAAAACTACAATTTTTAAACAATTAACTATAGGCTTACAAGGCAGATCTTTTGTATTTTGGTTCTTTAAGCAATTCCTTGAAGTAGAACTTGTCTATTTCAAGAATTAAAGGTTCCCACTGCCTTAGTGACTGAAACATAGGAGCCTAATAATAATACTGGTATTTTGGTATTTATTTATACAATGGTGGTAACGTTATTTTTGAGTCAAGAATTCATAAAATAAACTGTGGGATGAAATATAAAGCATTTCAAAATAAAATGTATAAAAATATTAAAACATAATGTAAAATTTATTTATATATTAAATACGTATTAAAATAAATTGCTTTATAAAATACAATTAAAATAAAAAATAAAACTAAGCTATATAAAAATAAAATTAAATAATGAAAATGAATTATTTGATCCTTCTTAAATTATTTATTCAAAAACTTTTTAGATATACAGAAAAGTTATAAAAATATGCAAGAAAATCGCATGTCTTTTACCTAGATCCATGCATTAACATTTAACCACATGTTCATCTTTCTCTCTCTGTATATACAGAGTATATAAAGTAAATAGCATACATTCTTATTTTTACTGAACCATTTGAGAGTGAGTTTTACATGATTCTTTTTTTTTTTTTTATCCTCACCCGAGGACATTTTTCCATTTTTTGTTCAGACAGAGCGGGAGGAAGAGAGAGAGAGAGAAACATCGACGTGAAGAGACACATCGAGTGGCTGCCACCCACATGACCAACCAGGGCTGGGGACAAACTGCAACCGAGGTACGTGCCCTTAGCGGGAACCGAACCCGGGTCTCTCTGTACCGCATGCCGACGCTCCAACCGCTGAACCAAACCGGCCAGGGCACGATTCTTTACATAAATATTTCACTGTATTTCTCCTAAGAACAAAGACATACTCTTACACAATCAGCTTAGTTTTTAAAATCGGGAAATTCAACATTTTTTTTTTTTTTATCCTCACCCGAGGACATTTTTCCATTTTTTTGTTCAGACAGAGCGGGAGGGAGAGGGAGGGAGAGAGAGAGAGAGAGAGAGAAACATCGACGTGAAAGGGACACATCGAGTGGCTGCCACCCGCACGACCAACCAGGGCCGGGGACAAACTGCAACAGAGGTACATGCCCTTAGCGGGAACCGAACCCGGGTCTCTCCGGACCACAGGCCGGCGCTCTAACAGCTGAGCCAAACCGGCCAGGGCCAACATTGTTAAAATATTATTCAATCTATAGTCCATATTAAAATTTACAAATTGTCCCAATATTGTCTTTGATGGTAACTTTTTCCTCCCAACTCCAGGATCATCATACCCTGTATTTATTTGGCTGTTATATCAGTTCCGTCTTCTTTAAATTGAACAGTTTCTCTCCTTTGTCTTTTCTGACATTGATGTTTTTGGAGAACACAGATTCACTGTATTATAGACTATTCCTCATTTTGGGCTTGTCTAATTGTTTCCTCATGATTCAGGCAATGCAATTTTGGAAGGAATAATACGTAAGTGATGTGTCCTGAGTATCACATCAGAAGGCAAATTATTTCAATTTGTGCTATTACTTGTTATATTAACTTTGATAACTTTCCCCTTTTTAAAAAGTTTTCAACCTTAAAAAAAAAAAAAGCTAAGGGTGTCATTGCTGAGTTTTAAGCATATTTTTGTGCAATTTTTTCCAGCTCCTCTCAAAGTTGACACTATAGAGTTGGAAGGCAGGATGGTAAGGAAATAGTTATAAGTCAATTCCAAATATTTCCTTCTGAACCTTCACCTTTAAACAAATCTACTCATTTGATAAATTTAAGATGTTTCTGAACAATTTTTTGTGGGGCTAGAGAATGTAATCATTTGTTATTAGCAAGCAGAGCAGGGAGATGGGAGAGGACAGGGTCAGAAAACCTGTAATAGAGGTGTTAGGCATGTGTTGGTGTATCAAGTTGCTGACTGACAAATGAAATATTATGTCTCAAATATACTGGTACCAGTATGTGTGTTTATTTTTCCTACTAAAAGAATCCAGTGTATGGTGCTTTTTCTCTCCATAGGGTTCCTTGGAAAAATAATTCCAGGTCCAGAGCAGGAAGTATACACGATGACCCTGGAGCCAGCTGTTACAGTACTAGAAAGCATGGTGCTATCAAAGACTACTGGGCCCATATGAAAGGGATTCAGGAGCTCACGTAAATAAGACCCCCCGCCCCCAACCAAAGATAGGATAACTTACTAACTGATAAGGATAATAACTACCATAAATTGAAATATAAACATGTCTAAAGTTCATAGTGAAAAAAATTTTGATTGGTCATCTTCAGTGAAAGCTAAGGAACCAACTCATTTTAAAAACTGGTAATTAAAGAAAAGAACCAAGCATTTATACTCCTGTTCCTAATATATACTGTACCATAGGGTAAACAAACAAAAACTTGATGAAGGAAAATTTCTCTTCATAGAAGTGTTACAGCTAAAAAAAAAGAAATGAAAGAATATTATTTTGTCTCCCCTAATAAATTAATGGGTTGAGGCAATTATCACATATCTAATAACATCGCAAAAAGAGAAACAATCAAACTTATCTACCTTATGGTTGTACGTAACATCACCTATGGAGTAGTTTGTATTAAAGAAAGAAGGGGAAGAAAATAAAAATCTAAGCTGAATCTGATCAAGCCTCTACATCTAATTATCATTTTCAGGAAGTAGAAGGAAAACAAGAATATGTTAAACGACAAGGAAATGCAATTAGCAAAATACAGAGTGTGGGAAAATCTACAAAACAAATGATACAGTTTCTTTATCAAAAAATTGAGAATGGGAAGGAAGACAGAGAATTCCCGTGTGTGAGAGAGGAGAATCTATAAATTAAAATAGATTTAAGAAATATATCAACCAATTTCCTTCTTAAAATTTTTTTTTTCTTTATTGATTTTAGAGAGACAGAAAGGGAGAGAGAGAGAAAAACATCAATGAGAGAGAACATGGATTAGCTGCTTCCTGCATGCTCCCCACTGGGGACCTGGCCCACAACCTGGGCATGTGCCCTGACTGGGAATCAAATTAGCGACCTCTTGGTGCATGGGTCAACGTTCAACCACTGAGCCACACTGGCCAGGTACACCAACCAATTTCAATGCTTGGATCTTACTTACGTCCTGATTTAGACAAACTATAAACCAAAAATCATAACCATCACATCCAAAAAGGGGAAAACAAGACAATTAGGAAATGTAGATATTGGCTGGATATTTGAAGATATTAGAGAATTCTTAATTTTGGGGTGCCATAGTGTTTTGAGTTTTTTACAGTTCTTATACTTTAGAAATGTATAACAAAATATCTTCAGATTAAATCATAAATGATATAATATCTTGTATTAGCTTCAAAAATGATCAAGAGGTAGCGAGTATGAAAAGAAAAAATAGGAGGTGGGGTATAGATGAAACAAGACTGTCCACGTGTTGATAATTGTTGAAGCTGGATGATGGGTACATGGAGGTCATTATATTTTGAAAATTTCCACAATAAAAGGTAAAAAAAGAAAAATGCTATAATATATCAGAATTCTAGAGAGCACTGTAACCACAAAATGGCTAGAGACACAGGGAGCTGAAGAAGTAAAGCATTAACTAAAAGGGAGGATATGAGAGAGTTAATGACCACGGATTCTGTCCATGATGTGGTAAGAATAAGAAAGAACACTAAGGGAGAAGTATAGAGAAACTTTTTTGCCTATATTTGTATTATTGGTATACAAAAGGCTGGAGAAGGCATATCATCACTACAAGTGCCTTCCTAGCCCTAATTTCTGAATTTAATTTTGTTCCTCAACCTATTTCAAACAACCAGACATGTAAGACCTCTTTCTTTCTATTTCTTCCTTTTCCTCTTCTCCCAGCCTCTCAAACTACTTCC